GATTATGAACATTAGCTAAAAAAAAGTTGCTTACTCTACAGTGGAAACCCGATGTTGACCCAGACAGAGTATTGTCAGTGGTGCCATGGCAGGGGCCCTTCCATATCTGTCTGAACTCACAAGAAGATGTTGTGGCAAATTTCCGCTGTTTTTTTGAAAAGCTTTACAAACACTTGTTTGGTCAAAGAAAAGTGTTGCCTTCCAAGCCTAAACCACACAGAATTTCGACTCTCATCACTACAGCATTTGGTGGATGGCTGACTGTAAAAACCGCTGTTCTGCCTGCATTTGGACAATGCAAAGACCCAGAATATGTCCTTCTTGTGTTTCTCCTGGATGAATTGGTTCCACTTGTGTTTTACTTTTATTCAGTTATCTTTCGAGGTGGTGACCAAAGGAAGTGGGTTGATGCCATGATACGGTTAGCCCTCATGTTTATCATCCAAAGGCGGCGTCACTATGACAAGGCCACCCTGTGTCAGTTGAGCGACCTTGTACACCAGCAAGAGGCCATTCCCAACTTCCAGGAGCTACTGGAGCAATGGCTCAATGAGCTAACAGAAAAGAAAGTGGAAGTTTTCCATTCACTTCTTCGAAGGTAACATAAATGTACCTAGGAAAGTCAAGTGCATAAACGGTTTGCCAAACATTACCCTGATACAGTATAACAGACAGATCCTAATAATGTGCAATATTGCCCCAGGGGCAACATGTTTTTTTAGCAATGCCACATATATTTTTTTCCTTAAAAATTTAGTGGTAAATCAATCAATTCCTCTTAAAACAAGCAGACCACTACTTCAACAAAGTTATTATTTATCATTATTTTTAAAGGTAAGGAATGCAAAGTTCCTAAACGTGGTTTGAATAAAACTATTTTTCATCTGTGTGCTGTTGTTTTAAATGAAATTTAGTCGAGGCCACAGCCCTTGATATGACTGTCAATGACAGACAATGTCAGCGTGCAAAGACAGTCATGTCCGATAGCCCACGGCTAGTGGATTTTGCTATTGGGCTAGTGATTCTTGTTCTTAACTTGCCCAACAGGCAAGTGCTGTTTTTTAGGCAAATTCAAATTACAGAAGGATTGGAATGACTTGTGGGCTAGTAAATGCTAGCTACAGCTGCGGCATCTGTAAAACTGAGTTTCTTTGCACCCTGGAATGTCAAGGAAAATAAACTTTTGAAAAATTCAAATAAGCCAAAAGTGTTACATTAATTTCAGCTAAGTGACTAAGACATTTCATTTTCCTTGAATTGTCAGATCAGTTCCTCCAAATGCCACAGCCAGCCAAGTTCAGGCAGCTGCAAAGGCCATAAGTGCAAACAGATGTGCAGAAGATTTTTGTACCTGGTTCCTTACCAATAATCCAAGAGGCAAGGGTGTCCGGAACCTAAGGGACCTATCAAACAAAGCAGCTGAGTTTCTTCTTGACTTGTTCATCTCTGTGAGGCAAAACCTTGGAAACTCTGCAAAAATACCCAGAGGACAAAAGAAATATCAGGTAGAATCCAATATGGCTGTAACAACCCATTCCATAACAAAACAAAGCATTTCCTATACAAGATATACCGAAACAAACCTTTATCTTTTTCCAATGCAGCCTTATTATCTACCCTCTCTTGATGCAACTGTGGACCAAAGAAGCTTCCCCTTAGGGTATGCCTGGAAGGGTCAAGAACCAGACCCACTGTTGGCTTGTGATGCAGCAGATTGCAGAGCAGATGACAATCTCCTACTTGCAGTTCAGCGCTTCAACTGTGGCCACACATTTCACAAAAGTTGTCTTGGTAGTTCCTCAAACTGTAACGATCATAACTACTCAATACTGTATGGTGTCAAGTGCCCCATTTGCTCTGAGCAACTTCCTTTAAGAATCCAAGAACTTGCAGACAGTTTCAACAAAGGTTTACTGGCAGGAAATGATGAAACTGACGGAAGCAATGATAATCATGATGACGACGACGATGATGATGGAAGTGACAACTCAGATGATGATGACAGTGATGATGATGATAGCAAACCTGATACACTAGCAAATAAGATACTCATTAAAGCAAAACAATCCCTTTTGCATCTTCCACAAAGTGCTTTATTTAAGTACAGCAACAAAAATTCCAAGAATGTAAACTCCACCGACTCTACTGGAGAAGCAGTAATTGTTAATACTAGTATGGTGTGTGTCACATGTGGCAGGGTCTGTAAGAGCAAAGGGGGCTTGACTCAGCATCAGAACACCCACAAAGGGGTAAATAGTTAAGTGTTTCCCTGAAATGAGAATAACAAAACAATAATCATTTCCTTTTTTAGAAGCAAATCCAAACAAATAACACAAGCCCTTTGTTTCATGTAAAATACCTTGAATAGGAATAGGCATGATAACACAGGAGAGAAACCTTAAACAATGCCTTTGTTGTTCCCTTTGTCTTGCTATAGGTATCTCAAAACAATGCAACTAGCTAGATAACAAATAAGTGATCTTGTGCTTGCATTTGGAATTTGGTCCATACAATATTATATGAGATCTTTGCATTATAAAAGATTAACTCAGCCCAAGTACTATGCCAGTGAGAAAAATATAGTGATAGTCCTGTCGAGAATACTAATAAGGGACAATGTGATGTACAGGAGTAATATAGTGTCTTCAAAATATTCGATGTTATTTTGAACATGTAAATATAATAAGATTTTCACTTCAAAATACCACATTGTATATGGGCAAGGATTGTGTATAACTCTGCTAATTCTGGATACATGTAAGCTTAAAAATTCATCCTTAAAATTTCACCTTTCTTAAAACAACCTAATTTTGTACAGTAAAATCATTCCAAATCTATATCAGTCCAAAAACAAAGTTATTAACTGTATAAATCAGTTGGTATAAATTGATCTAAAGAAATTACAAATTGGACAACGCGTACAAAAAAATATTTTCGCTTCTAGCGGAACAATGTAAACAATTCACACCAAGGAATTCATTGAACAGTGTGGATATATATAACCTAGAATCAAAAGCCCATTAAACTTGTAACTCAGGTGCTATAAAGTGCTACTTTGTTTGAAAGTTTGGTTACTTTTAGCAATGGCTTCGCCAACTGTTAGGTGCCGCATTATACGCCTGCACGCAGCGCACGCTGCACCGCCGCAATCTCGTGGAGGATAAATAGCATCCAATGTAAATTTCGGTTAACTCATTAACTCTGAAAACGTTCACTATGTCAAAGACGAAAAATGTCTTACCTTTAAACTCAGTTGTGTAACTATCGGATCACCGAGACTTGTTGCAGGAAAACCAAACAATCGCGTAGAAGAAAGTTGATCGAAAAAAGCACATGGTTTGCTTGGCACGACTCCGTCCGTTTAACGTAATACAATCACAAAGATTACCTCCAAAGCGAAGCAAAACAAAATGATACCATTATATACAAGACCTTTCAGTGATGTATTTCAACACAGTGCTCTTCAAATTTCGGCCAAATATCTCACATTCATGATCGCTCGATTGTAGCTCCTTCGGATCGCTCATTCTTTTGAACCAACTGCATCTGCATATGGTCAGCGGAAGGCGCAAGCGCATGCTCTCAGTGGAATTTTTTTTAACCAATCAGCGGTTTTTCTGCCCTGCCATTTGAACATTGATTCAGGGCTCGAAAAGTTAACGGGACTTTCGAGAAATGGCTCACTACTGAGAAATCTTGCATTCGCTATTTTGGAAAGATCAAGAGAGACTATAACAAATCGACCACAATTTCCCATAGTCTACGCTCTTTTACAAAATAACTAAGATAGTACGCGCGTTCCGATTGGTTAAAAACCTATGGTTTATTGTGCCGGTAAACTCAGAGTTTTACTGAAAGTTTTTTTATAAAAGCAATAGACCACAGTTTCTATGGCTTTACCGGCGTGATAACCCACTTGGGATGTTGGGAGAACGCTCGAAAAGCTTGTAAATCACTTGCCATTTTCTGATTTCTAGGGGTAACACAGTTCTCCATATTTACGGTTAACAAACGTACCAGAATGTTTGTACTGTAGATGAAAACAGGAGGACATAATGACCATAATCCGGAGCGAGCAACTTCCATACTAGGACTATGTCACGGCGTTTTTACAGAACAGTTTATTTTTAGACACATTTTAGGGCACCTTTTCCCGTGAAAATAGAATCTCCACCATGTCTATGAGCGCATTCGAAGTATAAGATATCAAAAAGGAAAACTAAACGTTATTAAAAGGCAAAAAAATCACATTTTTAGGTCTGTAGGTTTTGCTGACTGGTTTTTGGAATTTAAAGATATTCAAAATTCGCGCCAAAACCGTTAGTAAAAATAAACTGGCCCGTTAAAACGCCGTGACACAAGCGTATGGAAGTTGCTCGCTCCGGCTTATGTGCCCCTGAAAAGTAAAGTGTTCTTCATTCAGTCCAAAAAATGGGCATCCTCGGAGACCCAGGGGCGGTCAGTCGGGCCGGGAGAAAAGGTGCTTGAAAACTTTTGTCGCGCTTTTTCTCCCGGCCCGACTGACCGCCCCTGGGTCTCCGAGGATGAAAAATGGGTCAATTGTGAGCTCGGTGCACAGGCTACCCAAACTAATATACTGTGTGCCCTTCTAATGATTTTGTATGGGAAAAAATGGGAAACGTAAAATGCCGAAAAAATAAAGAAAGTTAAGTTATTGGGTAAAGTAAACTTATCTCATATTCATACACTTAAGAACCAACTCAAGAGCCCTTTTAAAAGCTTCACTAGCGAGATAAATTAGAAACATCATCGATCGTGCAGATCCAAATGGACCCGGGAAATAAAGATTCTAAAACAGCTGTAGAATTTAGTTGTAAATTAACGAAGAAAAGAGAGATTGGTTTACGTTTGAAGGAACTTGTTAAAATTGTCGAAAATATTTTGAAAGGCACTATCAACAATGACATCATTATATATATTTACCTGTCTTACTTAATGACGTAATGTGGATCTTGTGACCGAAGATAAACGCCGGGGAAATGGCGGCATGTTCTTCGTTTGCGGTGGTATTTTTCTCCAGTTTTCTCGTTTTCCTTCCATTTGCAGCTCCTTTAAGTGCATCTCCTGGATTGCTTTCTGATTCCTACAGTCAAATTGCACAAAAGTTTGGACTTTCATTTCCATTTCCCGTAATTCCCAGTTTGTCTCTCAACGTCTCTGTGCAATGCAACTACAGCCTCCACAATCTGTTTAGTAACCCCACACTTCTGGAGTATTGTAAGTATGACTAAAATAAACGCTTGAACGCGTTCAGTCAATTTCAAGGTTGAATTGAAAAACAATTGGCCTTTTTTCTGTTTTATTGCCAAAAGAATGGATTGTTTGCGCGATCTCGCCGCCGGTTATTCATGGTGGCAAGTATAGTTTGTTTAGTATCAAACTTTAATAGCAACTTTGACAACTAGGCGTTAAATCACTTAATCAGTTACCACTCACTCGAGAGATTGTCGGCTGTTTTCTCAAGCTAGCAAAGTTGCAGCGCGCTACACTATCTCGCAGTTAACCTGATCGCAGGTAATCTCGCAGTGCGTAACCTGAGCTGATCTGGCCCAGTTTTTGCCGTGTCATACGGTCACGCAGGGCCCAATACAAACTCTCACGAGGCTGTTACGCTGCGGCCAGATTTGGCTGCAATGCTGATTGACTTATGTGGGAATGCTGTAGGATGTAATTGGTTTATGTATATATTACAATTACTAAAGGAGGATATTACCACCGTCCTGTCATGCATTACATACACACGTACACGTATTTTAAAACGTGACTAACACTTACCTATAAAGCTAGTTTACAGGTCAGTCACAAAACTAAAAGCAAGCCTGGAAACTATGTAAAAGTGTTTAAAATGATATATTATACAGAAAAAACTGCTTAAAATTATAAAATTGTTAAACTTATATTCTAAGAAAACTAGGTTAAATTGCGAATAACGATCTATAAACTTACAACTATATAAAAGTGTTTATATAGTACATGGAAACTGCAATAAGATTATAGAAACTATGTAATACTTAAAATACTAAGAAAAACTAAGTTAAATTGCGAAAGGGACTATAAACTTTCAAGGTCGAGCTCCTTGAGTCCACGTTTAAAACTGCGATAACTATCAATATTTCTTAAATTATTTGGAATAGTGTTCCATAGTCGGGCAGCCTGGTATCTCCATGACTTGATCCCATACTTTGTTGAATTTGACAGCATTGACGGCCGAATCCCAGTGTGGCTCATTTCAAAGTGTCACCATGGAGGCAACACAAAGGCACAAGAGAGATACCCGAAACAATTTTTTAGAAATCCAGCATACTCTGCGTAAACTGTATTGATTGTACAATAGAATTTCACGAAGTAGCTACAGATGCCCTTCTCAGGTGTAAGATTTTGTTTTGTATGTAAATAACAGGGATCCATCTCCATTTTTTTATCAGAGTTGTCAGCTGGGCAAGTAAGCTTGATGGCATACTTGCCCAGTTCCAATTTATTTAGGTTGCCTGGACAAAAGTGCAAAATTATAGAAAGAACGGTGATAAAATTGTGTGCAACTTGAACATTTCTGATTTGCTCTTTATTTCCATTATAGTTACTAATAAAGGGCTTCAACTTAACTGTAAAGAAAAACAGGCTTAAGGCCCGAGTCTAAACACCATGTAGACACAGTCGTAGATACAGCAAAATTTGCTGTATCTACGACTGTGTCTAAATGGTATTTAGACTCGGGCCTAATGTGGCATTTAATCTAGACAGTCAAATTTAATTGATTCAAACGTCATGCTTCACATGCATTTAACTCTCGCATTAAGTTCGCACATGTGAAATTCGACTTGTGAAACGGGCCTTACTGTCTTTTTTCTTGCCGTTTTGAAGGAGGAAAATGTCTTCATGTGAATTTTCAGTTAATGTAGGTTTCTATTATACAGGAGGCCATGCACAAAATGTGTTTTAGTGCTATCCTCCGATAAAATCAAGTGTGATAATCTCCCAATGCAGCACCATTGGCAATTGATTATCATCCTTTAATAGCCCTTTTGGCGGAAATGGAAAGCAGGCCTTATTCTCTTAATTCAGTTCTTCCCCACTTAGAAATTTCGGATAATCATATGTTTCTGGGAAACTGCCCACCTACTCCTCCCTAAGCCAACACCAACACTTAGCTCTCACTTGGGGCAAAATGTTGGCTTAGGGGAGGGGTAGGTTTCCCAGAGACGTATAATGATCCCAAATTTTCTAACTGTCACCAGAGATTATAGGTGATCAAATTTCCTTTCTTATTTAATTATGAGACCATGAAAAAGACAATACTCAAGTGTTTAACATGTTAATTGTCAACAAAAAATAGAATGATATTATATTATTATATTTTTTTCGTGCAATCATAGATTGAATTTTTTTCCTCATACATCTTGAAAAGATTTTGATCAATGATTGATTTTAATTGATAATCAACAGAATAATGTTAGATTCATTATTTTTTTTCAGACTTGGATGCTACTGGTAAACCTCCAAGTGGAATTCTAGTTGGAAATCTTGCCTGGTTAGGATCGTATGAAGAGTGCACAAAGTATGTTCCTGGTGCACATTACTGCATGGCCTTCTTTGATACACCTATTCAACCACTGACCAAGGTGAGAATGCTTTCACCATTAATTTGATTACCATCCATGTTTGTGATGGAACTTGAGAAATACATTGTAACTTGTGAATGGCAAAACCACAGCTTAGTATCAAACAAATATGTTTCCCATTATTTGTGTAGCATTATATCAAGTCATTTCAAATGTTAAAAATAACAAAAATGAAGTTTGAAGAACTGTTAGGCTGACAGGTTTTCAGTGCAATCAGGGTGCAAAGGAAGTCAGTTTTACAGCTTGCCATTCGGGCAAGCTGTAGCTAGTATGTACTAGCCTGAAAAGCATAAAACTAGCCTGAAAAAAGATTTGATGAGCAGGATTGATTACATTTCTTCTGTAATTTGAATTCCCCCAAAAAAAATCACTTACCCATCAGGCAAGTTAATAACAGAATTCACTAGTCTGATAGCAAAATCCACTGGTCCCAGGTTATCGAACACCATTTTCTTTGCATGCTGGCAATCCATTTCAAACTTCTTTAAGTTTGGCAATCCGTGTCTTTATCTGTAAGGAGACAGTGTGGCCGAGCGGTTAGAGCAATGGATTTGTAATCCAGAGGCTCCGAGTTCAAGTCTTGCCCTAACTGCTAGCTGGATTTGTTCTCGGTAGTCCTGAGCTCAAATCTACAGCCATGCTTGTAAATAGCCCAACCTTACTGGTGTGCCTCCTACCAGTTGGGATTTTTAACCTTGTTTTTCCATTTAGATTTATTTGTTTCATTGTCCCTAAAAAGCCCCATAAGGGGAGTGGATAATTAAGTACTTCGAAGGTTTTACTTCCTAAAAGAAGACTGCATAAATTCATACTTTTAGTGGCAGAAGTGTTTTGCAGAATGCTGAATGCAGAATGCAAAGGGCCAAATGACTCTGAAATTTAGTGATTATGGTTAGGAAACAGAGTGAATCAATTTCCATTTAGAGTCATTATACCGGAAAAGTTCAGTGGCGGTTCCAGGGGGGGCCCCTTATTTGTAGACCAAACTAAGGGCCGAAGGTCCAAAAAAAGTTTTTGGAGACCAGGCCCCCCTCTCATCTCAGGGTCTAGATGACTGGGCCCTTTCCTTATGTTAAGGTCTGGATCCGCCAGTGAAGTTGACCTTCACTCTGTTTCCTAACCCTAATCACTAAACTTCGGTGTCATTTGCCGTTCTGCATTCTACATTCAGCGTTCTGCATTCTGCAAATAAAATACCCGTGCTGAAAATGATGGGTGTAGGCAACTTTTAAGTGCTGGTACTCCTTATTTACTAAGAGTAACTTTTCTCTTTTCTATTTTTCCAGGCATTTCCTTTACAGTGGGGAATATGTGCACCCAAACAATGTGATGAGCATGATTTAACTAACTTGGTGGATAAATTTCTTGCCTGTAAGTTAGCCATTGTTTATATTAAAACATTTATTTTTTCATTTATGGTAACTAGGACTGCAGTGATACGTTTCTTCTGCATTATATGATACAGATCATATACATGGTGTACAAAAGCATGGTGTAGTACTTATTTGATTATAATCAATGATCAACTGGGCAGCGCGCAAAAAAGGTGGTGTCTGATATCCGGAAGCTAAAGCGTATTTTGCTATTGGGCTAGTGAATAATGTCCAGCGCTGGCCACAAGATCCCTACTTTCCTTTTTCATCCTTATACAATGTAGTTCTCCACGGTGTGGAAGTGTGAAAGAACCCTATACTTTCCTTGCTCATCCCTAGTTCTACACTTGCACGTGAAGTTTTCCGGGGGAATTCAAATAATTTTATAGAAGTGTAATCAATCCTGCTGGTCAAGATTTTTTTTTTCGGGGGCAGGGGGGGCAAGTCAAACTGACTTTCTGGATAGTACATGCTAACTTCAACTTGCCCCAAAAGCAAGCTGCAAAACTGTCTTTCTTTGCACCCTGAGGGGCAGTCTGATTTTTTCAGATGGTCAATGTCGACTTTAATCTTCACTGGTTCATCTTAGAGCGATTTTTGTATGACCTTGAAATAAAAACGCGCAAACAAACAGAAATAGCGCAATTTGATTGGTTCATCAAACAGATACAAACATGCATGGTATTTGGTTGGTTAAGCGAACCTTGGATGAAAAACCTTCATGCTGGAGAACTTTCTAGAAATCAACCGATACTTCGCTTTGACTTCATACTGCAACATGATTAGCCAATCGAACAATGCCTTCTCCATATTAGGTTTTTCTTTGGCGGGAAAAAGAAGAGGCCATGTTTTGACCTCTTTATCCATTGGCTGATAAAACAAATAACGAACTCTTGCCAAAACCATTTTTCAAGGTCATACGAAAATTGCTTTATCAGTGGTCCTTTTTTTCCAAGTGAGCTTTGTCAGAATTACCCCACCAGACTAAACTGTCTGTAAATGGAGTATGTCTGTTCCAGCTGAACTGCACTATACTCAGCTCTTGTAGAAGGACCAGCCTCACTCTCTTGTGTGAATAATTACAAGAAATTTGCTAACTAACAGTGATTTAGGAGAATAGAGATAATTAAAAAAGAGTGTAAAAGCTGAGGTTTCGCATCATCATGATGTCATTGGCAAATTGCCTTCTTGATAGACACCAGCTCATGATTAAACGGAACTTTTTCCTGCAGCATTTGCCTGAAAATTAGCGGTGCACGGCTTGTCTGTGGGGAGAAATCTGTGACTGACCACTTTTCAAATTTGCTTTTCTCTAAATTTGTTATTATAAATGTCAGTTGTTAAATGTTTTTGTGGATTTTACTTATGTTTTACTCGTAGTGAAAATCAATGTCAAGGTTAATAGTAGAATGGAGTATTTTAGGTAAAAAATATGTTTCTAGTACCGTGATCAAGTCACGTCTTCTCTCTAAAGTCATCATAAGCCAATCATGACTCACGATTTAATAGCGTTGAACTTTCTCAAAACTCAGTTCAGTCAAAAAACAAACAGCAGCACTTCAAACCACGAGTTTTTGCACTCATTACATGATAACTTATGAAAGCTGTTTTACAGGAAAAGTCAACACATATTCATGCGAACGTACAATGAAAGAATACGTTCATGGTTTGTTTACTACAGAAGTAGAAATTAATTGAACATCAGACTGTACGCAGCTGTATTTTGTTTAGTCGATCCGTAAGAATTTTGTTGTTACAGACGGAACTGACAGCTATTGTAATAGAGGACTTCATTCACTTTTTACAAGCCGCAGTGGTTTAATATCTGTTTTCTGGACTTAATTATGATCAAGAAATGCCGCGGTAATGACGTGGCTGCATTTGCGAAGTTGTCGCATGTAACTTTATATGCACGTACAGCGACCGATGGAAGTATGTCAGTGGTGGAGAAAGGTTTCTTTGCCGTAGCCACATATTGGCGTTAATATTTGTCGATTCGTGAAGTGAGGTGGTTTGAGGTAGGTTATGGCATCGATATCACTGAATAATTCGTGCAAATGTTGGAAAAAACCAGCCCGAAACTCTGACATCTTTCATCAACGTTGGCAGCTTTTTTACAACCTACAGCGGCCGATTTTGTACCCATATCTTGATCAGAGATCTCTTTTTGGAACAAGTATAGGCACAGTACTAGATAAGGAATTTAAGTTTGAGATAAAATAAATCAAGAATGCTAAAACTATCCGTTTTGTTGCTGGTTGGCTTATGGTTAAGTTTTCCTAGAGACTTTCTACACCAGAAATTCACACAGTTGTTGTCTTTCTCTGCGATTTGGCATCGTCGTGAAATGTAAACTGTTTTCCAACTTTGTACTTTATAACTTCTAAAGCTATATGGCAGTAGCGAATTGTGACGCTCAGTAATAAAATGTGAAACCAACGCTTTTAATATTAAGAAGGGCTGGGTAAGTAACTTGTTCTGTTTTTTAGCCTTTCTAAAATCGTTATTTCAGAACAATAGCCGGTTTTGTTTATGGTTCGTGGTCCGGATGCCTTTTTCTATGGGTTTACCGGTATAATAAACCATAGGTTTTTGACCAATCAGATCATGCGTACTATCTCAGTTATTTTATAATTAGTGATAGCACTCAAAAGTATAACAATATAACATAGTTGACAGCGTGATCAGAGTACGAAAATTATATGCTCTCTCTTTTCCTTTTTAGTCCTTAAATTAGTTAACATAACGATTGAATTGAGTCCACGAGTTGCTGAAGCAGGAAGCAAAGAGGCTAAACCTATTTACTGCAAGAAAGAACCAGAATACACAACTGGGGTAATAATTACTCTGTAAGTACATAGCTATATGAATCTTTGAAATAAAAATTGCGCAGAATTTATAGTATTATGTTACAAAGTGAAAGAAAGCTGGGTTATTTACTTGGAACAAATGCCACTAAATCGTAGTCAACAGTTACCAGCACCGTACAAATGACTTATGGACAGATCAGAATCAAGCAAAACTAACTACGAAAAGAATGACTGGACGACCCAGGGGGCACTTGGGTATTTCTTGGGTGGTATGTGCCACCAGGAGTCCAAATTGGCACTCCGTTCTAAAAAAAAATTTCCCCTAAAATTGATACCCTGTTCTAGAATTCGCCCTAAAACTGATACCCGTTCTAGAAATGGGCCAATTTTTATACTCCGTTCTAAGGTGCAAAAGTACAACAGTTTGCTTGTTAACGAATTGAACTGTATTTTTAAAAGCAATCTGTCCTTGAATAATTTCAAATGGCTGCTTACAAAACTGGAGCTTTCGTGCGTTCGAAATATTATACCCCTCTGAAATGGATACCCTGTTCTAAATCAGGAGCTTCAAAATCACGACCCTGTTGGGTGGCACATACCCGTATAGGTAATGTATGGGAGTACCCCACCCCCGGGCTGGACGACTGACAATATTTATTTGGCTAACAATAAACAATTGTTTGACTGCGACAAGACATGGATCAAAACGCACCAATGACATTACAAGTCCCGATAACCAATAACATCATGGCTTAACTGACTAATTGACTAACTGACTGACTAATTGACATTTTAATTGAGCAGTCAGGTCAAATAACCAGAATTTAATACCATCAGCTAATGTGATACAACTCACTTTGACTCTGAAGATGACTACCGCACAGGTTGTCAAAATGTCAGTCACTGTCAACAACAGAAGTCCTATTCAGGACTCAACCACCCAGACAATCATACTCAACCTACTTATGATGGTATTATTTATACAGAACTGGCTCATGTTCTTAAACTTCAACTTGTTTAATCAGAACATAGTGAATTCACATGTGGCCATGACAGTAAACTGTGACAAAAGCAAGCCCAAGCTGTGCAAATACTAAAATTTGATTGGACATTAACACAGTGCAATATCATCACATTATACATAAGAATAATAATTATTATTTATGTGCAATTTAGGCCCAAGCTAACCTAGCTCAAGTATTCTGTCATAAATTTGCAATATTGTTCTGCTATGTGATCAAAGTAATGCAAATTGTTGCTGCAAATATCAATATGTTTTTGTTTTTACAATTTGTATCATGTATTGGTGTGCCGATGATCAATTATAATCAACCATCAATGGAAAACTTTAAGCTGCACGATAATAAATTTGTAGAAAATGTTCAATAGATTATTGTGGGGAAAAAAAATGTCACGTTGGCAAATATGGGTATTAAATACTTGTTTGTTGTCTTTTTATCATCTATTATTATTATTCAAGGAGAAAGAGAATTTAATCACCTCAAAGCACCAAAAAATTTTGAGGTCCAGCTGAGAATCAGACTCACAGCCCTGTGAGTCCTAGATCAGATGCGCCAACCACTGAGTTACTGAAACTCTGTGATATTTGAGCATAAAATAAAAGTTGATGTTGGCAAGCACTAACTTGTGAGCCTGCAGATCACTGCGGTTTACCCCACATGGTCTTTCCTTATCTAGCACTGGGAGTGTGCCTATGCTAAATTCCCTCTCAGTCAGCACTTTCTTCTATCACTGCAAGTTCAAGCAGCAAAGTTGACCCTTCCAACCTCCTGTTATTATAGGCTTCCTGTAGTTGCTTGTCTTTTATTTTACTTTCTGCTTATTATTTGTTTTTTGTTTTTTCTTTGTGTTCAATGAATAAATTTACGGTGGGGAATTGCTGCCTGCGGCACCCCATCAGCCTTGTGCTGAAGCCCCATCACAGAACTTGGCCAAGGACATTATCCCAGCCACAGGGATGTGTGAACCATGCTTCCCTTGCAGTACAGGCATGAGGCACCCTCTCGGCATGGCACCATATGCTGAGACCCCTCATCTGGTGGGTTATCTGGTCGGTGGGTTCTAACCGAGCCTTGCTGGCTTTTCCCTGCCCAATTTCGTCTACCAAAGCCTTGTGTGTTGTGTTATTTCTTAGTCTTGTCGCTGCACCTTAACATTAATGCCCCTTATGTGAAACATATTGAATGTTTGAGATGATTACAGTGCTGTATGTGGCCATAAATCATTGCATCTTTGAAATGGTCTTGAAAGGTTTGGTGTCAAAGTGTGGGTTTGGTAATGAAATGTTTTGTTGAATAATTTGTTGTCTTTTCTTGTTGTATTTAGAACCTTGTGTGGAATAATCTTGTCTCTCTGCCTTGTTGGAACAGTCCTTGATGTACTCATTAGCTTTTTTAAACCACGCCCATCAACAGTGAACAAAAGTGATGGATTCATGCCAATCAGAAATGTTTCCATAGCTACTGATAATGATCAGGCTCCTCCTCATGTTCCAGTCTTTGGAAAACATGATGGAATCAGCGACAACTCACAAATGATTCATTCCATCCCTCCTGAGGGGACAGTTAGTTACAGTTCTTCATTAACCAGCTTTCCTGAACAGCCAAAGGAACCAAGTAAGTTTTGAATGTTATCAGATAACTGTTTTAAACTGATTCTTGCCGGCTTCAGTTGGTGCTCTTATTTATTTTACAACCTGTTGAGCCAAGACTGTTAAACATAGCACCATGAAGCCATAATTGGCTTTTACTTGGCGGGGATTGGGGGGTGGGGTTGTTGGTGAAATGGCCAATTCCAAGGGAGTGACTGGGAGAAAGGCTTGTACAATGATTAGGGCAGCTTTCTGTCTTGCCCTTTTCACCTATCTCTGCTGCAGTAAGGTCACATACTGTGGGATCAATTTCCTGTGTATCTTTTGAACCAGATTTCAGGTTTGCCTGCAGCAGACATCAGTTTTTCTTATTAGGTTATCTAAGAAAGTGAACATTATCGTCGCAGTAGAATGAACAACCAAAGCGTTTGAAAAAAAAAAAAATCCTGAAAAGAAATTTAGGCTTGGCTGGGAATCAAACCCTGACCTTTACATTGGCTGGACACAGTGCTCTATCTATTGAGCTAATCAAGCTAGCTGGAGAGCAAACCGTTGTGACAGGGTTGCCATGGTCAGAGAAAAGTCAAGCAAAAACGAAAATTTTTCAAGGTAAAGGGAAAAGTCAGGGGAAAATCTTTGATATTGTCAAAGTCAGTGAAAAGTCAGGGAATTCTGTTTTCTGGTTTATAGTTCATAAGTTTTCTTCAAGATTTTGAAATGCATTTTCTTTTGGAAAAGACGAAAAGTATGCTACAAAGCAAGGAAAGCAATCAATTTGACACTCTTCGTCTGACACATGTAGTATTTGTGGTCAGTGGTTTTTGTTGTAAATGCTTTCTTCCAACTTCCGTCTTCCTCTTTCCACGAAAAGCGGAAATAGGGTGAAAATGAAGAGAAACTATCACTGGCCTGCAAAAATAGCTAAAGTGAATGTAAACATGGATTGTTTCTCATTAATAAAAGGTCAGTGAAAACTGTTTAAAGGTCAGTGAAAAGTCAGGGAATTTTTAACTTTCTGATGAGTGGCAACCCTGTTGTGAGTTCGTAATATACCTGATGGTGGAATTGACATGAATTGGTGAAATGAATCATATTTTGAACTGCAGAAAGAGATCATGTTCACTTTCATATCTACACTGAATATTTTTGTTGATTGTGAAAGGCAATTTATTTGTTTAATTGTTTTTTTTATACACAGATGTGGTGGCAAAATTTCTTTTGTGTTTTTCTCTTATCCAAAACACAAACCGCATTTTGAGTACTAAAGTTCCTCCAGGCGCGATAACATCAATCAATGGCATGAGAGTATTGAGTATGTGGTGGGTTATACTTGGACACTGTTATGCTTTTCAGGTCATGACTGGTCTTCCAAGTAAGTTATTTCATATTTTTATCACCAATAAACTCCCAAAAATTTATTTTAGAAGAAGAAATAATTCTAGTAGGCAGCAACTGTTTCAATATTTTAAAGGCGAAAAGGGCCTTTTGTGCAACCCTGGATCTGAGGAGTGTCAGTGTAGGTATGAGAGGGGGATTGTTATTTCCTCTCATTGGGTGGCTTGGCCACTACTTTTGCAGCTTTAGGATGGTGTAGTTCACTCCTCAGTTCCTTAGACATCACATCTTTGGTCACTCATCAGAGACAATATTCTGGGCCATTATTTTAATGGAGTTTAGCCAGTGTTTCACAAAACTGTGTTCTTAGTCATTTTCACACTATTTACCGTGAACAGTTTCACGGAAGTATATAGGGTAGACTAGAGAAGCATTTAACAAATAACCCATTAAGAAAGGGCTCTTGCAGTCCATTGATGTCTGAAACCACAACCTAAGTTAGACCTCCTTTAACCCATTCGCCCCTGGCATTTTTGCCGAAAAACGCGTTTTGAAGCTATAGTCAAGCGGTTTTCTGGTCACTATCCTGCTATATTGAGCTAAAACTTACCATAAAGCCATTTACAGGTCGTACACTTTGCGGCCTTCTGATCCAGATGGAAAATATATTAAAATAAAATAGATTATTACTGCCAAACACTTACCCCTTAAAGCCTTAACTATAAGCAAGGCTGGCTGCGGACACCAGGAATAGAAACTAGAAACCACTTGCATTTAGTGTGTCTTCTGGTGAGTGATGTGTCTTTGTATGTTTTGTAGGTAACCTTTTTACATTTTTTGGCATCATTAAACGTTTCACATTTGAAGCTATTGGAAATGCAACCTTTTCAGTGGACAGTTTCTTTTTCTTGAGGTATGTTATGATTATTACATATACATTATAAATAATTATAGTAAATAATGATAAATACTCAATTATCTCCTCTCTTTATGAGGCTTTTCAGGGATAATGATACAAATAATTTAAATGGAAATAACGTTGATGGTAATTAAGAATCCAGACAGGTAGAAGGCAAACCAGTTAGCATTTTGCAAGCTTGGCCGAGGATTTGAACTCAAACTAGTGGTCAGGACCTCAAAATTAGTGGTCAGAGCAGGGCCTGTGGATTACAAGTCCAGTGCTGTAACCTGTGGGCCACACAGCCTCCACAGTAACGTACCAGGGGAGATTTACATGCTCCTTTATGTGGTTTAAGTCTCCAAAAGCTGGTTTTGTTTGCATGATGGTAATAAAACAGATTTGTGTAATTCTAAACATTAATTTTAACATTAATGTATTGTGGAAAAACTGGGAAGTTAAGGCATTTATCAAACATGATCAGACAGTAAAGGTCGAATCAAATATCTGGATTTTAGCCTGCAATGAAAACGAAAACACTTGTTTTTAATTCTGGAATACAGTCAATCGAAAGTACCCAAAGTGTCTTTTGTGGGGAGGCATCTGTTAAGAGATAGTCAAGTGAAGACTTACCTTTTGATTCTAATCCTTTTGTACTCAACAGCGGCTTCTTAGTTGCATATTTGTCTCTTCGGCACATGCAGAAAAATAATGGACAGCTTCCACTCTTCAGTTACTATTTTCATCGCTTTTGGAGGTGAGAGAACAGCAGACATACTCTCCTTTTTTGTTCAGGTGAAATTTGTGCATCCATCAGCATGTGTAATTTCAAAAGTAATGTTAGTGTGCTTTGAATGAAAAATGGGAGAATTCTTGTGAAATTTCCCCAGTAATGAAAATTTATATTCATCACCAATGGATGAGTTTGGGTGCTGGTGTTGTTAGTGGAGCTGGGCAATACTCTAGCACGAGAAAGGGAACCCTGGGAGCATCCTCCACAAGACGCTGTGACACTCAACTCAACTGTTTAGTAGAATACTAAACTACCAATTAAATACTTACCTATATATCCCCTTAAGAAGGAGGGGTTGGGAGAAACACAGCACTAAAACAGCATGCAAGTAACAATGCTACAGGAGAAGATACCTTGTGAAGAAAGCAACTGCGTAAAAACAAGACACCATACAATAATATTGTAGTGGGGAAAACTGCAAACCAGCTTTGTTTCGAGGCTAAATTACATTTAGCCCGTAAAACATGAAGTTAGTAATACTAGTGTTACAATGTTATTATTCAGTTAATGTTTTGAACAGAGTCATGTCTTTTAAAACTATGGGGAATATGATTGGCCAGGTGAGTGTAGCCTGCCCTACCAAAAGATCACAACCCCCTCTCCAGAGTTCCTCGATCACAGTCTTTCTAAACTGTGATCAGGCAGTCCTTCTTCCCTTATTAGGGAGCTTTAGCATCAACGACGGCTATGGCAGTGCAAATGTCACTTGTAAAATGAATCTGCCTTTTTTCAAACTTTGTCGCGTCTCTTCCAATTCGCTGACAATGTCAAATGAAGGTGAATTTCCTTTGAGTTGATTTCTTAGGGGACCGTACTCAAGTTTAAAAAGAGAAAGAAAAATTCGACATCGCTGTGTTTACGTCCTCCATAAAACGTGAAATTAGGCATTTTCACGTCGTAGTCGTGCAGTGACTGCAACGAAATGGACAGAAAAACGTGATGTCTGTGCAAAGTTGTTGTTTTGCTTAATAAGCCTATTGCTTTTTTGCCGTTCTCTTTGAAGTCGCGGTCGTCGTTGCTAAAGCTACGGAGGGAGAGAAGCGACGACCGGAAATGCGTCTGCGGTTCGCAGGCTAGGAGAAAGGAGGCCTGATACTTAAAGCATCGTCTGTCTGTAGTCTTTCCTTCCCCCCTCACCCACCTGATCGCAGGTTACAGTCCCTCCTGTACATTTGACATCATTTTCCAGGTATTGCAAAAGTCTTCAAAATTTGGTCTGAACAAGCTGGTTATGGTTGAAGAATTAGCCATGTGATTTTAGCCAATCAGAAACATAAAAATATTTTGAATGTATAATAATAATGTTGATGATGATGTCAGTGATGATAACAATAATAATTATAAATAGCTGCAAGTGAGTAGCAGTTCTTGGTTAAAGTTCCTAATATTACTTGTATCACTAATACTCCGCAGATTGACTCCAACATACATGTTTGTTTTACTGTTTTGGAACAAACTGACAGTATTTCTTGGTGAAGGCCCCAACTGGCTTAATTATCAGTCAGATGAAGCTTGTAACAAATATTGGTGGACCAATCTGCTCTACATCAACAACTTTTATCCTACAAAATTTGGTGCTTCAGTAAGTTGTTGATATTATCATTATTACAATTTATTTTTGTTTGGGGCTAATAATGATATATTTTGGTAGATCAGTATTTTAAGAGAGTAGTTTGAAGCACTATGTGTCCATCTTAGAGACAGGGCTGTCATTAAGAGGCGGGGGCCAGGGATTTCCCCTGGATAGTATGAACATGAACCCCGGTTACTTTCATCGCAAAATGGAAGAAAAATAGAAGCAAAAGAAATCCCCTAGTTGTTTGATTCCCCACCTACTTGTTGTATTTACCCGACAACTTGACATCTTTGTGACATCCCTGTAAAGTAGATGTCTATCTTGGAGGAAATCAAGTAAAAGTAGCAATCAAAGGCAGGGACCCACCCTAGGTGTCTGTTGTAGCAAAGTTTCTATCTTACTAATTTAATTAATTTTAATTTATTCCATTTTCACTGCATTAGTTGAAATAAAGGTATCACACATAAAACATATACATATATATATATGTAAAGAAAACTTAGCTAAATTACATAAGAGAAAAATTAACTACATACTAGAAAAAAAAAAGAAAAAAATTATTGCAGTGGGGAAGGACTAGAAGGGAAAGTGGAAAGTGCACTTAGCTTATCCAGCTAGTTTACAGGCACTCCACTCAAATACTTAGAAACAAATAATTCAAATATCACATAATAGGATCAAGAACCGCAACTGACAGGAGGCAAACAGTTGGCTATTTACAAGGGTGACCGAGGATTTGAACTCGGGATGACTGAGAACAAATCCAGCAAGTTGCCAGAGCGGGGCTCTTACTCGGGATGCGCTGACCGATGCGCTGACCACTCGGCCAGGCTGCATCCTCACATTCTGGGGCTTATACTGTTGAGCGCTACTATTGTTCAAACCCAAACATCAATGTGCTTTTCCCATTAATTACGACCTTAATGGTCACTAATGTTAATTTTGGGTGTTATTCTGACCTTTATGTTTGATAAAGCAGTGTAGTTATGAGCAAGAATTAAATCCTCTTTAAGGATAAAAACTAAATCACTCTTTTCACACCTTAGCGCCTTTTTTATTACAGCATTTCAAATGATTTTCTTTTTCTCTCTTCAGTGTATGGGATGGGCTTGGTATCTCGCTAATGACATGCAATTCTACATAATCGCTCCCGCTATTCTTTTTATGGCATACAGGTAACGTGTCTTGACAGCTTAAATTCTATTGCACTTTTCTCTATTGTCAAGAAGCACGATAACATTTACTTTTTAACGTTTAATTTAAGTGAGAAAAAGACTACATCTAAATTGAAGTGATTACAATTTTCTTTTTACCCTTTGCTCGGGTATTCACTGCAAGAAAGTTATATTTCCTCATTGGTTTGCACGTGAAGTTATGTGACGACTCATTGTCCGTGTAAGAGAGTGGACTACTGTTCCCCAAAGTATTCGATCCGTTCCTAGACACAAATTTAAGGCCTCCTAACATGAGCTTCTTTCACCTTTTTTGAAATTGGAGGATACTGATATTGACACAACCAATTTAATACATAAATTAAGAAGTCTGCCGTAAATGTAAATTTAGTTCGTAATTTCGTAATATTTTCTTACATAGTTTCTTGTTTTGCTACTTTTTGCTTGAGGCCAAGTCTACGCTATACAGCGGACAGTTTTTCATGCCGATATGAAAAGCTATCCGATAAACGGCAACTGCACCGAACTGGAACGATTATTTTGTTCACACACATCGAACTTCGTACACGATTTAACCAGCACATCCGTGCTCCTAGGTGTTCTTTCTCCACTGATATTTTTCAGTGTGACGGGTGCCTGTTCGTTTCCTTTTGTATGGGGCCTCATAGCTGGGTTGCGGTGTTGTGCCAGCCATGGGGGCATCCATACCCTGAGATAAAGGGTACCCGGTCCCAAAAAAACTTTTTTTGGGCCCTTCGGACCTCAGTTTGGTTTAAAACTAATCCGCCGTACCTAAAAAGATGGCGACTGGTTCATTTACCCACAGTTCTTAGCGCATGAAAACCATAAAATTGCTCATAAAAACGCACAGAAAAGTTTTATAAACTTCAAACCTGGGATAGGCAATTTTGCTATTACAGGGACGAATTTCGCCCCCCCCCCCAAATATGACTTTATGTGCAATTGGCCGTGTTAGGTTCGAAAGGAGTTGTGGTAAAATGTACAGCCGCCGTTTTTTTCCTTACGGCGGATTGGGAGGGGGGCAGGTCCCCTCCCCTGGATCCCCCACTGTAATTCATGTTGACGAAAGAGCTATCCAGTATATTGTGGGCATAGCCAAAGTTTTATGGTGACGTAAAATATGATTCTAATATAATGATTTGCATTTGATTCTTTAGGTTTCGTCTTGTGGGAATGCTGATTATTGTTGGTGTGCTTATGGGTGCCAGTTTTATTACAACAGCCATTATATTCGCTCACTATGACCTTGCAGCCGTGCAGCTGGGAGCCGAAGCACAAGCTGAGGCGTAAGAGCTGTTTTCAGTGTTAAAGCCATAAACTTTGAGCCTTGAACTTACCTTAGGATGAGACAAACGAAAAGTGATACCTATTTAAGGCTCGAACCTGCAAAAACTAAGGATTTCCTAATACTCTTAGGTGAAGTTCAGTTTTAACAGATTTGTCTCTCTTGTAGCTGGGTAGTAACGCACTTGAATTTTAGCTGATATAAAAATGGTACCCTATCTAAGGATCACACTGGGGACACAATGCCAACAAGTGCAAAATGATACCCCGTTTAAGAAAAGAGACCGTCATGCCTGTCTATATGAAAAAATGATTCCACTTTTCTTTTGTACAATGTTCCAGTTTGTAAGATGTGCTTGATTAAAAGACCTTACGCATAGGATCAGCTGCATTTTCTTAGAAATTACGGTGACATGTTAGTCCATGTTACCTTGACTCTCGTAAGCCGGACACCTCTCAAAGACCAACAGTTAAGGCCGGTTCCGAAGGGGCAACGCTTCTGGCGGAACCTTGACCTCCTTAGGGATATCTGAAAAATATCGTGCGTGGAGCTGGGAGGGGGCCTGTGTTTTCTAGGGCGAAGTGGGAAATTTCGAGGACTTGCGCGCGTGAGAAGAGAAAAGGAGAGGAGGCCTCCCCACCCCTGCGTGCGATCCTCTCGCGTGACCTGTAAAAAAGTAATAACCGCAGGCAAGATAAGAAATTTCAATATCCAATACACTAATGGGTCACAACAGTTCTGCGGATACCAGGTAATGTGTAAGTAATTTTGTTGTTGTAGGGTTAAAGGTATAGATGCTAGCTCTTTGACGTATGTGAAACCGTACTGTCGCATTGCACCGTACCTTGTTGGTATGCTGTTAGGATACATAGTTCTACACTTCAGGGACTGGAAGATGCCCAAGGTAATTTGTTCATACAAACGTACATTACCCATTTGTTAATTACAGATAAGATTACTTAGATAAGACAAATGTCCTGATGTGGCGGACTCCAGTTGTAGTAAATTGGAACCCCGTTCCACGGACATCCGTATATAATGGACAGTTTGGTATGTCCCGGCGAAAAGTCCATATATTTTTTTCTAAAATTAACCTGCTTAGTACGGACCCTTACTCCTGTGTCCCGAGTCACAAACTCTCATGTATAGTCAACCCCACTTTACGGACACTGTGTATCTGCGTAATATCTATGACTGAATATCTTACCATATTTAGAAAACCGGACGCTAACGGCGAATGCCTTCTCATAGGTTCTGTAATTTGGACATCCGGGTAATACGGACACTATAGCATGTCCCCTTAGTGTCCATTTTAGGGAGCAACGAGGGCAACGAGAACGGCAAAAAAGCAATAGGTTTAGATTGGCAAGAAAACAACTTTGCACGTGCATCACCCTTTTTTGTACATTTCTTTGCCGTCACTGCTGCGCGACTACGACGTGAAAGTGCCTAATTTGACGTTTTGTCGAGGACGGGAATACAAGAAAACAACCTTCTTTTTCTTTTCCTGAACTTTGATACAGTCTTTTCGAACTCGGCTCCAAAAAAATTTGCCAACATTTGACGAATTAAACGAGCTGGAGTAATCGCGATAAAGTTTGAAGCAGCGCGAATTCACTTTTTAAGTGACGTTTTCGTAGCCGTCGCTGTCTTCGCTGCTTAAGCTCCGTATTAACTGTGCTCCACTCTAGTAGCTAGAGCTGGGCTGCCTTGTGTAAAGGCCCCCAAGGGGGACAATTTATGCAGGCAAAATGGTACTTTCCGTAATACTCTCTCCGTAGTTCAGTTACTAGAACCCCTCAGTGCCCAGTTTTTAACTCGAATCCTTTCCTGGAGTCAATTGTTTTTCATTGTTGTGTTTATATTACACCCACATCCTTTATAACGTCTTTGACCAGCAAGACTGAAAGTGTCCCGTTTGGTAATGATTTGGAAATATAACTTCAAATTGATCATCTTAAAATACAACTAGAATCCCGAAACAAATTAGTCTGCTACACAGCCGTTTTTAGTGTCGTCACGCAACGAGGAAGAGCGTTGCGTGACGACACTTAAAACGGCTGTGCAGCAGACTAGAAACTAAGAAGCTGACGTTCTGACTTTTCCAAGGTGCGCACATATATGTTCAATGTTGCTGGGTGGTGTGTTGCTATCGTTCTCGCTTTATCCACACTCTACGGTGAATACAAAGCTGTAAGAAAGGACAATCCAAAGCCTTTCACTCGCACCGAAAATATCATATACGGGACTTTCTCACGCTGCGCATGGGGCTTGGCACTAGCTTGGGTGATTTTTGCATGTCATCGCGGGCTCGGAGGTAGGTGTCGATTGAGTTGTTTGCAGTCGAAAATTTCCTTAACATTGTAAGTGTTACGGAAACACCCAAAAGGTTGTCTAGAGTTTCGTTCGCTAATGGACGTAGATTCCTCTGAGGCACCTTTTTAGGACAATGTCGGCATCTCATATGAGTGCCTTAAATATGTATCGGTAGATTTACTGCAGTAACTCGCGTTTATTGATTTATCCAATGTAGGTTCCACCTATTTGACTGCATGTGCAGAGGAAGCGGAAAAAGTGCAAAACACTCTCACGGGGGGTGGGGGATAAGGGAGGGGGGTTTTCCTCCTTATAATTACCTTTACGGGGAGGCTCCGTCCGAAAGGGGTACCTTTTCAGGCCCCAGGTTTATGAAAGGGTGACCATTTCTTTAGTTGAAGTCTATACAAAGGGTAGGGAAATCTGTCATTTCGGTTTGTCAAAGGTCCCAAAAGGGCTAACAGGGGCATTTTATGGCCGTGAAAAAGTCGAGAAAACTTTCTGGTTTTGTGATTTATTCATATTTAAAAGACAGATGCATTTGACACCAGTTAATAGGGATGTGAAGTTCCAAAGTAAGTATGTAAAAGGGGTACCATTTGTCAACAGAAGGTATACGAAAGGGGAACCTTTTCAGTCAAAAATGTTTTTTTTTAGAAGAGTTGGACCTCTGGGCGGTGCCTTCGCGTTTAAAACTTTGTTGAGCACTTCTCCCCGGAAATATGCTTTTCCCCTTACCAGCTTTTGCTTGGTACCGGAAGTTTTTATTTTTTTGTAAAACAGAAGTTGGAATTATTTGGTGGACTTTGAGGAGTAAATTGTAACATATCAGCTGACTTTGAAGCATATTTGAGTTCATTTCATGTAATTCTGACTTTGGTTTTCTATTTTGTAGGTTTGGTGGACAAAATTCTGTCAGCTCATTTCTGGATCCCATTAAGCCGACTGACTTACTGTGCCTACCTGGTCCATCCTATCGTCCTGCTCACATATCTCGGTTCCCTGGAGACTAATCACAACTACTCTGATGTCCTTATTGTAAGTAACAATTCTAATGTCTTGAGTAAAACCTTTTACTCGAACTAATTAACTAATTTTTTTTACTAACTAATTTTTTCACGCACGAGCGATCGCAAGAAGGAGGAAAGCGTGGTTTCATTTACGCATGACCAGAGTATTATTTGCAGCCAAAAACTTGCCAAACTCAGTTGGACGACATTGCGCATGAGCAGACCATTATTTGTAGGCAGTTATTTGCAGGTCACGTGGTGGACTTTCGGCCAATAAAAAGAAGAGAAAATTTGCATCGAATGATCATGAATAATCTTTTTTTTCCTCGAATGAGGCTGTATACAACAGTGATTTTGGAGGCTTTATTTATGATCTATTTACTAAGGGATTATTTGTGTTTTCTCTTTTTTCCCCACAGTCTTTCTTCTTTACTGGTTCGGTGGTCCTTTCATATGCTGCAGCCTTCATTGTTTCAGTGTGTGTAGAGTTTCCCATGATGCAACTGGAGAAACTGATTTTTAAAACCCAACGCTGAGCTCTGATGTCTCTTAGGTCTCTTTTTGGCTCCATGCCCCGGTTGTTTAGGGATGGATAACGCTATCCACAAGATAAATCACCCTCTTGCGGATAAGTGTTAGGGAAACCAATTACCGTGTCCAGTGGATAGTGTTAGCAACCTTTTTAACAACTGGGGCCAGTCTACTTGGAAATTAAGCGATGTAAAAACTAATACACTAAAAATTCTTTTGTGCTTTCCTCAAATAGGTCCTTTAGACACAAAAATGTAACGTACTGTTTCGCAAGGTGCGCACTCGTAGTAGCATGAAACCCCAATAGAGACCTTTAGATTCTGAGGCGACAACGACTACGAGTACGAGATTTTCTCAATACTGAGTATTGCTCACGGGTGAACCAGCGTCATTTTGGCGGGAAACCGTGATAGCGGTCGTCTTTCTACTACGAGTTTTAGCGAGAATGTCGTAGTGGCGGGAACAAGTTATCAAATGTAAGAAGTTTTATCATTTTGCTATCGGAAGAGGGCTGAACCTCCTTCAGTATAAATAACCGTACTAACCTTAATGGTGAAGAAGAGTAAAATGAAGCTTTCCGAGGGGTCTTAAAAAAAAACACACGTATAGAAAAGTTTGAGTTAAATCTCGTACTCGTACTCCTTCTCGTCCTCAAACCTGAAGCTCTCTATTAGTTGAAAGCCACTTTTGACTCATTCCCTAGAATAACATGAAACTAGCGGGTATTTTTAAGGGTTGCCACAGAGATGTGTCTGATGAAAGCTCCAGCTAGCGTGCGAGCAAGGCTGCCTCTTGACCCAAACTACCGTCTCTCTCGATTATAATTTGCGCGCAAAAGAAGGCGAGAAGGAGAAAACTTGTCGGCGAGACTTCAAGTTTTTCTCCTTCCCATGGTCCCTTGCGCTTCGTCAACAGTGACTCGAGTT